TCCTGGGAGGGAGCCTTCCTTGACTTTCACTAGAAAGGACTAGAAGCCCCTTTTCTCTCCCCCTCTACCATGTGAATTCTACTTGAACAAAGGCTGTGATGTTTGTTTGTTTGTTTGTTTGTTTATTTATTTATTTTTGGTCTTTTTGAGACAGGGTCTCTCAGGTAGCCAGCCCCAGCTAGCCTGGAGCTCACCATGTAGACCAGGCTGTCTTGGAACTCACAGAGATCTTCCTGCCTCTGCCTCCTGAGCTGGGATTAAAGGCGTGTACTACCACACCCTGGGGAGGTGGTCTTGTGTTGTATAAGAAAGCAGGCTGAGTATAGGCGAGGGGAGTAAGACCTTAGACCTGATGGTGCCCTTTGGCGTCCAGGCACCCTTCCATAGGGCCAGCCAGACCTGCTTCTTCTGACTTTCCTGCCAGTGACATCTATTTTTGTTTCCATTTCTTTTTCTAACCCACATAGATTTTCAATGCCTGTATCTTTAGAATGTCCAGGCCCCGTTATTTGTACCTTTGTGTGAGTACAAAGGATGTGGGTTGTACCTCAGCCACTTGCTTCTAGGATACAGTGTGTGATGATTCATCTTCGTTGTCAGCTCGACTGGGTTTATTTATTTTAAAAAATATTTATATTTTTATTTTATGTGTATGAGTGTATTGCCTGTATGTGTAAGAGCACCCTGTCATGCAATGCCCTTAGAGGTCAGAAGGGGGCGTCTGATCCCCTGGAATTGGAGTTATGGATGGTTGTTAGATGCTGTGTGGATGTGGGATTCCACCCTGGGTCCTCTGCAAAAGCAGCCAGAGCGCTTAAACACTGAGCCATCTCTCCAGCCCCTTGACTGGGTTTAGAAGCACCTAGGCGATTGGTGAGGCAGCTCTAGGTGTGTCTGTGAGGGGTTCTTCAGAGAGGTTTGATTGAGGAGGAAAGACCCTCCCTGAATGTGAGTGGCACTATCCAATAGGTTGGGGGTCTTGTCAAAATAAAAAGAGGTAAAGAAGAAAACCGTCTGAACACAGCTATTTCCTGTTTCTACTTCCTGACAGTTCTCTGGAGCTGCTCAGCTCTCCTTGGTCCTCCTCACCACCAAGGGCTGAACCCTCTGAAATCAAGAAATAACATAAATTCTTCCTTCCTTAAGTTGTTTCTGTTAGGCATTTGGTCTGAATGACTTGAAAGTAATGCAGGATGTTGCTTTTGTGGCTGGGTTCTGGAGAGATTCTGGTTTCTGTCTTGCTCGGCTTCTCTAACTTGTTTTAAGAGAACCTAGCTGCCACACTGCAAATTGCTCTGTGGAGAACAAGAAACCCCAGGGACTCAGCTCAGCATCCTGACCCACAGAAACTGAGATAACATCTACTTGCTGTCCTAAGCCCCTAAATCTCAGAGTGATTTCTACAGAGCAGTAGGTAATATAACCATTGTGCCATGCCTTTTTTTCTATATAGTGACAAAGCTTTTAACTTCCCCCGCTTTAAACTTCTCCTTCATCAAATGATCAAAAAACATGTCAACAAACTTCCCCTTTAACTTCTGTGCTGATATGAAAATGTTACACGTGTATGAGACTTAGTAAATGTATCTATCTCTTTATCTCTGTATCATCTATCCATCCATCCATCCATCCATCCATCCATCCGTCCGTCCGTCCATCTGTCCATCCATCCATCCATCCATCCATCCATCCATCCATCCATCCATCCATCCATCCATCTTTGACTCAGGGCCTCACACACACTAGACAAGCACTTCACTACTGAGCCAGCCTTGTTTCTTCTTCCTCCTCCCTCTATCATCCTTTTTCTTTTGAATATTGTGGATTGGACATAATAAGCCTTGTGCATACCAGGAGAGTGCTCTACCACTGAGGTGTATCCTCAGCCCATTTTTAACTTATTTTAAAAGACAAGATCTTGCTAAATTGCCCAGCCAGGCCTTGAACTCGAGGTCCTCCTACCTCCCAAGTAGCTGGGATTCCAGGCCTACCCTACTACACCAGCTATTTATTCTTCAACAGTGGTTCTCATTTTACACACAGGCACCAAAGCACCCCTAGCGTCTGTTGTTATAGTTGTGACCTCCTTCCTGCTCAAAGGAAATCCTGAAATCTTGAAGAATTGTGTGGGTGAAGTAAGCAGCCAGTGACTGATGGCGAGAGCAGAGGACCGCACGTGCTTCTGTTTCCATGGGAATCTGGGACTGTGCTATTGGCTCTGAAAACATGGGCAGCGTTGAACCAGCTCTGAAAACCCAGCTCTTCAGTGCCTGCTCTGTGCGGCTGGCTGCCGAATGAAAACCCTCTGTGCAGCTCCTTTACCTGCTGAGCCACCTTGCCGGCCCCAAAGCACAGACTTCCAACCATTATGCTATGCCAAGTTTTCTTTCTTTATAGTATGTTGATTAAAGAAATTTTTAGAACTGAAAAAAAAATACATGAATATATAAAAGAAAAAAATCATATCTCTAACAAAGCATTAATTGGTGTTAACTTTTTGACTTATTTTCTTCCAGCTTCCTCTTTTTAAAACTTTCCCACTCCCTTTGAGAATATTCTAAACAGTTGGCTGAGCCCCCGAAGCTGTTTTGTGTTTGTTTGGTTTTGCAGTGCTGGGAACGGAACCCAGGGCCTTACATAAGCCCGGCAAGATACAAGCTCACCCCTGAGCTACACCTCCAGCCCCCAGAGCCATTTCTACCATTTCTAACAAAAGACAAAGTGGAATTTTGCATCCTGTAACTACATTGAGGTAGTTTAAAAAAATATTATTTTATGTGTATGAGTGTATTGCCTGCATGTAGGTTAAGTGCACCCATGTCGTGCAATGCCCATGAAGGACAGGGGAGGCTGTTGGATCCCCTGGAACTGGAGTTACAGACAGTTGTTAGCTGCCATGTGGGTGCTGGGATTTGAACCTGGGTCTTCTGCAAGAACAACCAGTGTTCTTAACTGTTGAGCCATCTTTCCAGCCCCTGAGGTAGTTTTTGAAAAATTATTTAGTATTATTATTTTGGTCTTTTTGAGACAGGGTGTCCCTATAGCCACAGCTGGCCTGGATTCACTATGGAGACCTGGCTGACCTTGAACTCACAGAGATCTGCCTGCTTCTGCCTCCCAAGTGCCCCACCATGCCTAGCTAAAATTATTTTTACTTTATGAGTGTATTGCCCGCATGTGTGTAAGTTTACCCATGTTGTGCAATACCTATGGAAGTTAGAAGTGGGTATTGGGGTCCCCTGGAATTGGAATTACAGATAGTTAGCTGCCATGTGGGTGCTGGGAATTGAACCTTTGTCTTCTGCAAGAGAAACCAGTGCTCTTAACTACCAGCCTCTGGGACAACAACACCTGCTGGACACAGGAGCTGTAGATTCTTGTTCAGTCCTGACTCTGTGTGTGCGTGTGCGTGTGTGTGTAGGAATCTGGATCTGCTACCTACTAGCTGTATGACTTTCTACAAGTGATTTAACCTCTCTGAGCTTTGATGTGCTTTCTGGTAAAATGAAAGCAATAATACTTATATGTAGTTTGATAAACAAGAGTGTAATAATTGTCTATGTCAAAAATCTTAGCACAGTGCACAGCTAGTAGCCCACAGTGTTTCTACATCACTGTGGTAAAGGAACCTGGATTCTATGCTAAGTATCACCACAGCAAAATTCTAGAGCAAGCCCCTCTACCTTCTCCTCTTTAAAAGGGGTGGCAGCCGCCTTCCAGAACCACTAAGCATTGAAAACAAAGTGATACAAAAATCGGGCTGCCCATGGTTACGCACACCTTTAGTCCCAGCACTTGGGAGGCAGAAGCAAGCGGATCTCTGTGATTTCAAGGCCAGCCTGGCGTACATAGTGAGTTCCAGGCCAACTGGGGCTATAGGGAGACCTTGTCTCGAAAAGACCAAAAGGAAAAAAAAGCATGGGGCACACAGTAGGTCCTAAGAGAAATCTTTGCTATGCCGTCTGTGCCTCCTTAAAAAAAATCTTTTAATTAATCAATTAATTAATTATTTGGTCTTTTTTGAGAGAGGGTCCCCCTGCAGCCCCAGCTGGCCTGGAACTATGTAGACCAGGCTGGCCTTGAAGTCACAGAGATCCGAATGCCTCTGCCTCCCAAGCACTAGGATTAAAGGCGTGCGCCACCACAGCCAGCTAATTTATTTTTACATGTAAGAGTGCATTGCCTACATGTATGTAAGTGCACCTATATTGTGCAATGACCTCAGAGGTCGGAAGAGGGCATCGGATGACCTGGAACTGGAGCTACAGACAATTGTTAGCCGTCATGTGGGTGCTGGGATTCAAACCCAGGTCTTCTATAAGAGCAGTCAGTGCTCTTAACTGCTGAGCCATCTCTCCAGCCCCAGTGTGCTTCCTCTTATACTATGGAGTCACCTCACCTGTGAGGGCAGGTGGCACCCAAGACACAGGTCTCTACTGGGCCCAAACCCGATTCTAGCAATGATATGTCAGTCAGCTTGCTGTTCCTGTAACAATCACCTGAGAGAATCAATGTATAAAGATGAAAGGTTTATTTGGGCTCACAGTCATAGAGGGTCTGGCCTGTGGAGCCCATTGCCTTTCAGCCTCTGGTTGGGGAGGCACACATCACTGTGGTGAAACAAGATTCACCCACCTCATGGCTAGGAAATACAGAAGGGGAAGAAGGGGGGATGCCTCTAGCCCCTTCAAGGACACACCCCCAGTGACCTAACTTCCTCCCACTAGACTCTGCCTCCTAAAGGTTCCAACATCTCCTAATAGGTGGGGCACCAAACCTTCAGCTTGGAAGAGCATTCCAAACTATAGTAAACTGTAATCAGACCTTCTCTAGAGACCTCCCACTTGGGAACTCAGGGGTGAGAAGCCTCAGGCCACATACTCCGTACAGAAAGATATGCTGCAAGCATCCCGTGTCCTCTTCTAGAAGAAAATACCCAAAAGTTTCTCAAAAGACAAATCGCTCTGTTCCCCACCACTCCAAGAGTTGCACACACCAAGAAACAGAATAAAACATGTTTTTTGAATCAGGATGTTCTGTCACATTTATAATCAGACAAGTTGCAGGAACAGGACAGAACCCTGGGGGCAGGCCAGGCTTGGAATGCTAGGGAGGGCGGGCAGGAAGGGAGGGCAGGGATGGAGTGCTGAGTCCCTGAGGACAGGGATGTGAGGAGTGGCTCTGGCCTGGGCTAAGTGACAACTCTACCTGTGTGAGTACAGTTAGGGAAGTCACTCCACCCAGCCCATGAGGGTTTGGGACCCATGTGGTAGGTGTCACCAGGCCCAACAAGAACATCATTCTGATATCTTCCAGGAGCTGTCACTCAAGCACCCATGGGAACTCAGGCCCTCACAGGCAGTGGATCCTCTCTGGCTTTCAGTGGGTCTTCTGCAGGTCTTTGGGCCCAAAGGAGGCTGGCAGCAGCTCCTGGACTGTCCTGACCATATATGTGCCATCTGTCTTGGTCATATACACAGCCCAGTCCGTGCCAAACTGAAAAAGAGGAAAAAGCCACATGAGGCAATAGGGCAAAGTGGTGAGAACCTGAGTTTCAGTCTGACTCTATTCGCTGTGTAATGGCCCTCCTCTCTGTGCCTCAGTTTCCTCACCTGTCAAATGGGAGTGACAGTATTGCACCTGGTTTACAGAGCCCGAGGGAGGAGCTGCTGAAAGAACACTGTTCAAAAGCACAGAGCATGACCCATCATCACCCAGCCACAAACGCCCCCTGAAGGACACCCCCAAGAGCTTTGTAAAAGTAACATTTACCCTCCACTTTCACCTGTAGCGTGCATGTGGGTATATGCACACATGGGGCACGTGTGTGTGTGTGTGTGTGGAGGCCCAATGTTGATGTCAGGAATCATTCTCCATTGCTCTTCCACCTTATTCACTGAGGCAAGGTCTCTCAAACCTGGAATTCACCGATATGGCCAGTTCTCCAGAGGCCAACTGCCTTCTGCAATGAGGGACAAATGACAGCTCACACCTGCTGCCCCTTCCAGGTTCCCCTTCGTGCCTCACTCCAGTTCTTGCCATATGCTAGTCTATGCTTGCCTTATATTATTATTTCCCCATAGGTATGATTATTATACCCACTTTACTGTTGAAGAAACCGAGGCTTAGCAAGATGAAGTCAGCAAAGATGAGAATGCTCCATCTTTCTTCTCTACTCTGAGGGGCGCCATTAACTTCCTGTGGGACTCTGGGTAAATGGCAACTTTGGGGAGGGGGCCTCACTGTCCTCATCTGAAATGTTCATTTATCCATCTTGGTCTTTTTGAGACAAAGTCTCCCTGTAGCCCCAGCTGGCCTGGAACTCACTATGTAGACCAGGCTGGCCTGGAACCCACAGAGATCTGCCTGCCTCTGCCTCCCGAGTGCTGGGATTAAAGGCAGGTGGCACCTTGCCTGGCTCATCTGAGATGTTTTAGAGATGGGAGAGGGTACAAAGCATGTGGGTTGGTGGGGAGTTAAGTGTTAGAGTTAACAGACCCAGGCTCTGGCTGACCAGGCATGGTGAGGTTTGTGGAAGGCACCTCTGCAGATCCTGGCACCTAGTAGATGCTCAATTCATAGAAGCCATTGTGGTTGATGTGTGGGCTGCCAGCCTTGGCCGAGTCCACAGCCTCCTGTTTTTCAACATTCCTGTCTGAATCACGGAGCTGTTTCCTGACACGATCAATCTTCAGGGATTTTCAGAATTAATGTTTCAAGGGAGGGCATTTTCCTGCTTGGCAGGTTGTGCTTGAGGATGCTGGTGTGAGCTGGATGCAGGCGGGTTGAGGTACCAAGTCCCCAGCTCCCAGGCCTCATCACTCACTGCTCACATGGGCTTTCAGTCTCCCCCCTCTCTCTTTTGCCAGCATCTAATCTGTTTGGAGAAAGTGGTCATAAACAGTGGGGCCAAGTTTGGGCCTCAGAGACGTGGTGCCTGGTTATGGCGTTTTTGGACTGGTCACTGCACTGGGCAGCTGCGTCTGCCCCCTTGTGGAAAGGTGAATTCCACTGGGTGAACTGAGTGCCTCTGGGGTGACTTTTCCATCTGGACTTGGGAAAAGCACTCTTCATACTGCAGGGTTGGCAAAAAGCCAAAGGAAAATGGCGCATTTGCAACTTCCATGTGTCCCGAGGCAGAAACACAAAGCCAAAACGGTCTCTCTCCCCAGCACAAGTCCCGAGGCAGGAATGTTCTGGAACAGGCAGCCATCTTCTCTATGGCAAAGTCCCATAGGCATTCCTGGGGACTTTGCTCAGGGTGTAGACACAGGAGGCAGAGGCTGTGTGTGTGTGTGTGTGTGGGGTCGGTGATTGGCGTCAGCCTAGTGTGTCATGGACTCGTTCCTTTCCTCTGATCCTTGTGGAGATGGCAATGCTGATGCCTACCTTGGTCCTGGGCTTGTGACAGGGCTGATGGAGCATCCAGAGTTAGAGTACTCACAGCAAGCTAGAGATCAAGGGCTGTGCACGGGGCTCTCCTGACTTGTGGCTTTCATTTGGGGGACTTCAGAGGACATAGACCTCTTTGAGAGTTCACAAGTTCCCCTAACATTCCCAAATGTTCCCAAGAATACTAACTACCATTGGACCTAAATGAGATGCCACGGTCAGGGCTGGGGGTGTGGTAAGTGTAAGGTGCTTTCCTGGCACATTCAAGTCCCTGGGTTCCATCGCCAGCACTGAGAACACCACTAGCCAAGAAACCCACAATCAAAACCACCCTTTTATTTTTACAATCAAGGAAATCAAAGCCTTGCATAAAAGTGTTTTTTATAAAACTCGCCAGGGTTGACAAGATGGCTCAGTGGGGTAATGGCACTTGCTGTCAAGCCTGATGATCTGCGGTCAATTCCCAAAATCCACACGGTAAGAGGGGGAAACTGTTTCCTGAGAGTTGTCCTCTGACCTCTACATTGGCACTGTGGCATGTACACACACACACACACACACACACACACACATACACACACACAATAAATGTAAAAATATAAATAATATATCATTTCCTTCTTGAAAATTTTTTTCAACCTTGTTTGCTTGCTTGATTGCTTGTTTCTTTTGAGACAGAGACTTGCTATGTAGCCATAACTGACCTGGAACTTGCTATGTAGCCCAGGCTGACCTTAAATGTGCAGCAATTCTCTTGCCTCTACCTTCCAAGTGCTGTGATTACAGGAGTATTCCACCATATCTGGCTATTCTCAACTTAAAAAAGAGTGTCAGGGACTGGAGAGAGGGCCCAGTGGTTGAGAGCACTGGCTGCTCTTCCAGAGGACCAAGGTTAATTCCCAGCACCCTGGTCCGGTGGCTCACAACTGCCTGTAACTCCAGTTCCTGGGATCTTATGCCTCTGGCTTCTGCAGGGACCTGTACTCATGTGCAGGCATACACACATACACACATATATACATCATTAAAAAAAAATCTGGGGCTGGAGAAACGGCTCAGTGGTTAAGAATGCTGGCTGCTCTTGAAGAAGACCGGGTTCAAATCCCAGCACCCACATGGCAGTCAACTACTGTCCATAACTCCAGTTACAGGGGATCCAAGGGCTTTTGTTCTCTGTGGGCATTGCACGACACGGGTGCAGTTACATACATGCGGGCCATACACTCATACACGTAAAATAAAAATAATAAACAAAATATTTAAAAAAGAATAAGCAAATATATTCAAAGGCCGATAGTCTATCTGAACTAATAATTACAAATTTTATGGATATAACAGTTATGAGCATACAAAATTTGTTCATAAAGAAATAGATCAAGGGGCTGGAGAGATGGCTCAGTGGTTAAGAACAGTGTTCTTGCAGAAGACCCAGGTTCAAATCCCAGCACCCACATGGCAGCTAACAACTGTCCGTAACTCCAGTTCCAGGGGAATCAGACAACCTCTTCTGCCTGCCGCAGGCATTGCACGACCACAGGTGCACTTACTACATGCAGGCAATACACACATACACATAAAATTAAAATAAAATAAAAACTCTTTTAAAATATAGTAAAGGGCTGGAGAGATGACTCAGTGGTTAAAAGCACTGATTCCTCTTGTAGAGGACCACTTTCAGTTCCCGGCACCCATGTGGTGGCTAACAACCATCCTTAACGTCAGTTCCAGGGAATCCGATGCCCTCTTCTGGCCTTCTTGGGCACTGCATGACACAGGTGTACTTAACAGGCAAAACACTTATACATACAAAAATTAAAAATAAAAAAATTAAATGTAATAAAATATGCATAACATAAAATTTGCCATTTTAGTCTTAAGTGCACAACTCAGTACCTTTTATTCTGGAATAAACACCTCCCCAGCCTGTTTGCTGGCCCATGTGGCCTGTGTGATAGTGTGGCCGGTCCCCTGTCCATGCCTGTGACTCCTGTTCCATTGTTCTCCCCCGCTGCCTGAGGCCCAGTCCTTTGGCCTTTTTTGCTGTTCATCACATAGCAATCAGCTGGCGTCACACTTGTGGGTCCCTCTATCTAGAAGTCTCCTCTAGAACTCTGTCTCATTGCTTTTCTACTTCAGTGTAACCTTCAACCTTGCTAGGCCACTTAGAGGCCAGCAAACCTTTCACTGTCAAAGGCCAGAAAGTATTTCAGGTTTCCCAGGCTGTGTGGCCTTTCTCTGGCTGCTCCACCATGCTACTGCAGGGCTAAAGCAGCTGTGGGCAATTCATCAATGAACGGCTGCAGTAGTGTTTCAATAAAATTTATTTATAAATTTATAACCAGAAGGCAGGCTGGGTTTACTGGCCCGAGTTTTGGGTTTTGTTTTTTTTTCCCACAACTGCTCCCTTCTCAGAAACTTCAGCTTACTTATTTTTTCCCAGCCTCCAGCACCAGACTGGAAGCTCGAAGCTGGACGAAAGCAGGTCTGGCTTAGCTTGCCCCAGAGCTGCCTCAGTGACAGGCACAAGTGATAGACACTTAAGTATATGTTGGGTAAGGGCCTCATTTCCAGCGACTCACATGAGCCTAGGGAGGCCTTAGGAGCCAACCAGCAGTTTGGTGTTGCCTCTAGGAGACCTCGGTTTGCTTTCCAGAAAGAAAGCCAAATTCTCACCTCTCTCATGACTTGTCGGCAGGCCCCGCATGGTGAGATGAAGTCGTCTTGCAAATCACTGTGGAAGCAAAAACTTGAACTCAGATCAGCCTGTTACAAGTCTCCTGGCTGATGACTGAGATTCACACACTGAGTCCCTTTCGAGTTCCAAATCAGGTCACACCCCATCAGACAGTTCCTGATTCCCATACTCACTGTGTCTCTGGAGGTTTAGAAAGGCAATTTGGCTGCTGGCCACACTTTCACAAACAAGGCCACTAAGGCAATGCTGTTCTCGTTAATGAATCCATAACTCCATAAACATTTAGGGAGCACTTACTATCACCCACATACCATGAGTGTAGGAGAGCTGGTCTCTGTCCTCCAAGAGACGGCTCAGCTCAGCAGGTGACAGAAAACTAGATCATTTATTATTTTAAGCAAAATGCAGTAAAAACACACAGTAAGAGGGTATTGTTTGCCACTGGATCAAGAGAAGGTCAGACAGGAGGTGGCATTGGCTGGTCCTCACAGGGAGAGTAGAGGCATGTATTCCCATTTAGTGAAAAACTATGGTATCATTTGACATACATCATTTTGTTTAATTTTCAGAACAAGTTGGGTATATGAATAACCATTTATTGATGAGGACAGGGTTGCTCTGTGTTTTAGGCAAAAGAAATAGTTAGGGGAAAAAAAGGAAGGGAAGGGGAAGAAAGGTTTCATGCAAAGGCCCAGGGCATGGAAGAATAAGATGTATGCGAATCAAAGAGGAAACTGTGCAAACGTGCTCCTGACATGTGGGAGGGCCTGAGGCGACCCTTCCAGCTGGGGCTGCCTGTGAGAACTTGGGCACCTATATAGGCAGTCCTCCAGTTCTGAGCAGGGACAAAGGATGGGGCCTAGAACACACAGGGCTAACTGCAGGGGCCTTGCTTTATCATCATTCTAGAAGAGCAAGGGATTTAAGTTTTGGTTCTTGGCCAGCTCTTTGTTTTTGCTAACTGTGTGTGACTCTGAATCATCTTAAATCATTTAGGGCTGGCTCCTTTGTAACATGTGGGTAATAATGTTATCTACTTTGTAAGAATCAAGAAAACAAAATGAGATGTCTGAAGGGTTGTAAACTTTATATTACTATTATTATTTGTTGTTTTAGACAGAGTCTCCCTGTAGCCACAGCTGGTCTGGAATTCACTACGTAGAACAGGCTGACCTCAATCTCACAGAGATCCGCCTACCTCTGCCTCCCAAGTGCTGGGACTAAAGGCGTGTGCCACCACGGTTAGCTTAAACTTTATTTTTCAGACAGGATCTTATGTTGCACAGGCTGGTCTCAAACTTCTCATGGAGCTGAAGATGACCTTAAATTTCCGATCCTCCTGCCTTTAGTTCCTGAGTTCTTGTATTATAGGCATGTAATACCATGTCCGGTTTTGTGTAGTGTTAGGGATTGAACCCAGGCAGGGCTTTGTACATGCTAGGCAAGTACTCTCCCAACTCAGCTATATCCCCAGCCCCAAGGCTTTGTAAATCTCAGAATGGTATATTGCTATTGCCTGAACTAATTCCTATATACCTGTTTTCTCTCATTATAAGCTCTGTCATAATTTCTGTATTTTATCCTATATAATTTTTTAAATATATTTTTTATTTTTTTGGTCTTTTTGAGACAGGGTCTCCCTGTAGCCCCAGCTGTCCTAGATAGAACTCACTATGTAGACCAGGCTGGCCTTGAACTCACAGAGATCTGCCTGCCTCTGCCTCCCTAGTGCTGGGATTAAAGGCGTGTGCCACCACGCCTGGCTTATTTTTATTTTATGTGTATGAGTATATTGCCTGCATGTATGTGAGTGCACCCTGTCGTGCAGTGCTGTAGAAGTCAGAAGAGAGCATCAGATTCCCCTGGAACTGGAGTCAAGGACAGTTTGTAGCTTCCATGTGGGTGCTGGGAATCGAACCTAGGTCCTCTGCAAGAGCAGTCAGTGCTCTCAACCGCTGAGCCATCTCTCCAGCCCCTATCCTATATAATTTTATTACATAGCCTGTGCTTTATGTACTGCCATATAATTAATTTACTATGCATTCACAGTAACTGTTATGCTGTTTACTGTGTGCCTGGCACGCTGAGCTCCCTGCAGCATGCTCTGTAAGTGTTGGCTCACTTCAGATGACAAGTATTTATTGAGAACCTACTATGTGTCAGGCATTATGCACTGCCACTGGTGCTGGGGGTGCAGCAATCAACAAGACACACAAATCCACTGTGCTCAGGACTTTGTAGACTCATGACAGAAGCACCCCAACCAACCAACCAACCAACCAGCCAGCCAACCAACCAACCAACCACGGACCAAGTGGAGACAGGCAGAGACACTGTGAAAAGGATGAAGCAGCTGAGGGGACACACCTTGACAAGCACTGTTTTATCAGATGCTTGTGATAACTGACTCTTCCATCTGGGGGTCCAGTCAGAGAATGGTTCTGCTCCATGAAAACGTGGGGTTCGATCTGAGCATGCTTCTTGCTTCAGAAGAAAGCCCACAGGGGCATGAGGGAATGGGGACTCCTGCTCAGGATGCCCTCTGAGTCAAGTTAATCCTTGCAGTTACTAGGTACCAGATGTTACAGCAGAGCCTCTCATGGGTCTTTTGGAGGTTGGACTGTGCTACGTTTTGCTTCCTTCAACCTGTGTTGATCCAGAGCCTGACTGAAGCCACACAGGCCTGGAAGAGGAGTGGGATCCTGCCTTCAGGGACCTCACCATCTGGACAGAGGAAAAAGCCAGCACAGGAATGTTGTCAGGAAAGCACACTGTGGGCAGGGCACAGGCGAGGTGCCAAAGGAACTTCAGCCTCCCTTCCACAGCCTGCAGGACCCGACACGAGCTGGTCCTGCCTAGTTTTCCATGTCCTTTCCTAGGCTTCTGGTAGGCACAGTCAACTACTCAGTGAATAGCCCCTTGGACAAAGTGATCTGTATCGGGAGCTTCTGGGGGCCAATCCTGTACTCTACTGGAAAGTTGGATTCGACTTCAGCTTCAATCATCAACAGTTCTGAGCTGGTGCAGCCCAGGGCCAAAGCTCTGAGGACAAGGACTGCTCAGGTCACTCTGACTGCAGTGCCAGGTATTGAGCCAAGGATCCGTTTTATTACTTTTAATTTTTGAATTTATGTTTGTTTTGCCTGCATGTGTGTTAAGTGTACCATGTGCATGCAATATCCACAGAGGCCTGAAGAGGGCATCAGATCTCCTGGAACTGGAGTTACAGACTGTTGTTAGCTGCCATGTGGGTGCTGGGAATCAGACCAGGTCCTCTGCTAGAGTAGCCAGTGCTCTTAACTGCTGAGCCATCTCTCCAGCCCCTGAGCAGAGGATTTTAAAAGGAACCAGTCAGTCAGTCAGTGAACCAGATATCAAGTGGAGTGTTTGGCTCATTCAATCCTCCAGCACCGTGCAAGAGCTGAGAGTATGCAGTACTCTTATTGCTCATGTGTTAGAGATGACAGAAGGAGAAGCGGCTTACCCAGGACCACAGCTACTCAGTGGCAGAACCAGGATTTAAACTCAGAACCCATGTGTTCGCCTTTGTTATTCTTGGGCTAACTCCCAGTTGCATAACAGTAGTTCTTATTGGTTACAGACTCAATGCTGGGAAGTTTACAAGAGTCATTTCATGAGACCCGGCACATGAATTTCACAGATTAAAAGGCCAGGCTGAGGGTTGGGGATGTAGTTTAGTTGACAGAATGCTTGCCTAGCAGACCCTGGGTTTGATCCCTGTGCTGCATAAACTGGGAATGGTGGCACACATTTGTAATCCCAGCACTCAGGAGGTGAAGAGCATAAGTTCAAGATCATATCCTTGGCTAAAAAATGAGTGTGAGGTCATCAGCCTGGGCTCTATGAGATCTTGCCTCAAAAAAAAAATATATATGGGGCCAGGTGTGGTGGTACACGCCTTTAGTCCCAGCACTCGGGAGGCAGAGGCAGGCAGATCTCTGTGAGTTTAAGACCAGCCTGGTCTACATAGTGAGTTCCAGGACAGCTGGAGATACAGGGAGACCCTGTCTCAAAAAGACCAAAAAAAAAAAAAAAAAAAAAAAAAAAAAAAAAGGGAGATGTTTGCAAAAAAAAAAAAAAAAAAAAAAAAAAAAATTAAAAAAAAAAAAAAAAAAAAAACGAGTACAATGAAAAATTTATAAAAAGTCTGTTTGAGAGGCTTATAAATGCCTAAGGTGGGCAGTGGGGCAGGATGGGAACCACACCTCACTGACCTGGAGTCAGGGCTTTAACTGTCCCTCAACATTTCTGTCAAGAGTGAGCACTGAAGGCCAGATGAGCTGGCTGCATCTGGAAGTTTCTGACACATTTCCTGGCTTCTCCTCCCCTGCCTTTTGCTGGAGGCTGAGGGTTTTCTGTGGCTTGTGTAGACCTTGTCCACATACTGAGGTCATCTCCGCTGGGCAGGCTGGAAACCTACTGACTCTGAGGACTGAGGCTGAGATTTCGGTGGGAGGCCAGCACAGTCCACCTGGCTCTGCTGATGCCCACACCCGTCCTGGGTCCTTTGCCATCTCAGAGGGCCACTCCCTGCTCAGCCCTGTCCTGTGCCAACAAGAGCTGGCGTTTCGCATTTCTCCTCTAACTCCACACTCTATTCAATGAGCCCTAGTGTAATAATAGCTGTATTTTTGGCTGGGGGTGGAGTACAGGCTAAAAATCCAGAGAAGGGAGTTGGGTGCTGGAAAATACAGGTTTTGTGTAAATAAGGACATCTGCTTAATCATAGCAAGATCCAGTGAGTCATGTTTAAAAGCAGGTAATAACTGAGAGGAAAAGCCTTTCATTTGGAAAATGTTAATGGCCAGGCTGCTGCACTGTCGTCTCTTCTGACTGTGGCCTCTCTCTCCCCAGAACATCATTACTTTCTTGACTCAGCTTTAAAATTGAGTTATTTCTCAACTTGCATCCTGATCTACGCTCATCTGCACAAAATGTTCCTGGCACAGCTTCCTTTATTCTCCAGAGGCTGAAGGGGAAGGAAGCCAGGACAGCCCTTGGCCGCAGGGAAGGCTGGGAATTGTGGACTGGCTTGGCTCCAGTCACTCCACATGACACTAAGGTACTCTGGACCCTCTGGGATTAGACTGAGACAAAGCACAGGGTCTTGGAAAAGCCACGTGGGTCTGTCTCTCTTGCACAGCCCATATCAGCCTTGCTTTGAGCCCCGTCTTTCTATCAAAAGGGACTACAGCTCCATGCTCAGGAAGAAACGATTTCTCTAGAGTCTGTGTCCCAGAATGCCCAATGTCCCCAAAGACACTCTGCTGAGTGCATTAAGCACTTCCCATGTCATTTTCCTCACCAAAGTCATTTCTCTTATAGAGAGTACAGGAGGGGCATCCTAAGGCAATTCATTATGAAACCATTAATTGCTACGTCTAAATTAGTAAGGGTCCATTTGCTTCAATCCTGAAGTGTCTGAGTCTGTGCCCACTGCCAGTAAGACCTGAACATATGCCCCTTAAGGAAAATCCTACAGGAGCTACTGTGATCACATCCAGAGCACAAGAGAACGTTGGTTAAGGTCCTGTTCAGCCAGAATCCGGCTGGAGTCAGATTAGTTTGAACCATAATTGGTGCCTACCTGTCTGCCACCAACTCATCCCCGCCAGCTTGTTTTTGCAGCCTGGTTCTGGCACCTACACTTAAGTGTTGGAAGAGTGTCTGACCCCTTGGAACAGCATGGCACAGTGTGATGTGCTGGAAGTGGCCTGAGACTCCAAGGCCTGTGCTGTCCCAGCACTGCCATTAACTCCCATGAAAGTTGCTTTGCTTCTCTGGGCCTTGGTTTTTTTTTTTTTTTTTTTTTTTTCCAACTATAAAATGGAGGTGGTGGCAAGAGGTGTTCATGCCAGGTGACTTTCTGGTCTCTCTGGTTTGGGGTTTCTGCACTGTCTTACTGCTGTAGCTCTGCGGGATTCTGCTGTACTCAGGGCTGTTGGAACAGGAACACACCTGTCCCATGTCAGAATTCCCTTGAATGTTTATGGGCTCTGTAGGCTCACCCCTGAGGGTGGATTCTGAGGCAGAAAACAAAGACATGGAAAATTAGGACATGGGGCTGGAGAGATGGCTCAGCAGGTGAGAGCACTGGCTGCACTTGCAGAGGACCGGGGTTTGATTCCCAGCACCCACACGGCAGCAAACAACTGTTTTTAACGTCAATTTCAGGAGATCTGATGCCCTCTTCTGACCTCTGTGAGAACTGAATGACATGGGTGCACACATGCAGGCAATACACTCATACATAGAAAATAAAAATAAAATTAAGCCGGGCATGGTGGCGCACACCTGTAATCCCAGCACTCAGGAGGCAGAGGCAGGCAGCTCTCTGTGAGTTCAAGGTTGGCCTGGTCTACATAGCAAGTACCAGGCCAGATGGGGGTTACAGGGAGACCCTGTCTCAAAAAGATTAAAAAAAAAAATTTAAGAAAAGGAAAATTAGCTGGGCATGGTGGTGCACGCCTTTAATCCCAGCACTTGGGAGGCAGAGGTAAGCGGATCTTTGTGAGTTTGAGGCCAGCCTGGTTTACATAGTGAGTTCCAGGACAGCTGGGGCTACAAGGAGACCCTGTCTCAAAAAAAAAAAAAAAAAAAAAAAAAAGAAAATTATGGGAACATGAGAAAGGAAAGGAACTCCTCACTCAGGAGTCTGGTTGAAGTCTTTTGTTAGCGGAGAATCAAGAATTCTAATGATTAATATTTGCTTAAGGCCTTTCTCCCTTCCCAGCTGAAAACCTGCAGTTTTCTAGGACTCTCCCCAGAAGTCCCATTTACATATGCCAATCTCCTTGTTCAACCCTAGTGGCTTCTGGTTTTACTTTATCAGATTATAATTCCATTATAATGGCATCTTCAGAGCCACTTTATAATTTCAATTGAAAAGGGGAGCTGGGCATGGTGGCACAGGCCTTTAATTCCAGTATTCAGGAGGCAGAGGCAGATCTCCATGACTTCCAAGACAAGCCTGATCTACATAGCGAGTTCCAGGTCAGCCAGGACACAGTGACACCCTGTCTATCTATAAAAAAGAAGGGGGTGCGAGAGAGATGGCTCAGTGGTTAAAAGTACTGGCTGTTCCTGCAGAGGATCCAGGTTTGGTTCCCAGCACCCACACAGCAGCTAACACCTGTCTATAACTCCACTTCCAGGGGAGCCCTCTTCTGACCTCCACAGGCATTGCATAACATGGGTGAACTTACATACATGCAGGGAAAACACTCATATGCATAAAATAAAAATCAATAAATGAGATGTCTTTTAATAGACTCTAGCTCTGCTCCACTGAACTGGCTTGTTCAGAAATACTTTTCTCCAGGAAAGTCAAGAACTTGATGTTGGGCACCTTCCTCAACTTACCACTTTTACAAGAAGGTCTCTCAATCAACCCAGAACTCACCAAACTGGCTAGACTGGCTGGTTAGCCAGCTCCAGGGATCTGCCTGTCTCCACCCTCACCAGCACTGCGATTACAGAAGCAGGACACCCCACCTGGCTTTTTATGTGGTTCCTGGGGTCCTGAACTCAGATCCTCATGCATGTGTAGCAAGTGCTGTATCAACTCAGCTGTCTCCCAGCCTCACCTCACCCCACCTCTTTTTGTTTTTAAAGACAGGGTCTCATTTAGCTAAGGCTGATCTTACTATGTAGCCCAAGGATGATCTCCCTGCCTCTACCTCTTGAGTGCTGGGATTCCAGACAAGTGCCACCATGCCCAGTTTTATGCCGTGTTGGGGTTGAAACTCAGGCCCCTGGGCAATCTAGGTGTGGTGGTTTGAATGAGAATGTCTCCCATAGGCTCCAAGTATTTGGACATTTTGTCGCCAGTTGGTGGTGCCATTTTGGGAGGTTTTAGAAGGTGTGAAGCATGTCACTGGGGGTGGGCTTTGAGAGTTTTTAAGCCTTGCTGGATTTCCTGTCTCTCTCTGCTTCCTGTGCCTGCTTGAAGATGTGATTGTTCAGCTTTCTGCTCCTGCTACACCTCCCCACCGTTACCAACTCTCCCTGGAACTGTAAGTCAAATAAACTCTTCTTCTTCTTTTTTTTTTGTCTTTTTTGTCTTTTTTGAAGCAGGGTCCCCTCCCAATTTTTTTATTATTTTTATTTTATGTGTATTCATGTATTGCCTGCCTGTAGGTAAGTGCACCGGTGTTGTGCAATGCCCACAGAGATCAGAAGAGGCTGTCGGATCCCCTGGGACTGGAGTTATGGACAGTTGTTAGCTGCCATGTGGATGCTGGGATTCAAACCCAGGTCTTCTGTAAGAACAACCAGTGTTCTTAACTGCTGAGCCATCTGTCCAGCCCCCCAACTCCATTTCTTATTAACCTCCTTACCCCAGCACTCAGCTGTGGTGCCTACCCCTGTGTCTGCCATGCAGAACATGTGCAATAGACTTGTCTCAGGTCAAAGAACAAATGACTCACATGTGGGTGATGCTGACTGGAGAGGTGGATGAGAATTGCTGTGACTGAGCTGTCCTACTCACCTGGAGACAGCAATGGCCTTGAAATCCTTGTACCCTTCAGAGATGGCCTTCTGGATAGCAGTTCGTTCAGCACATACACCTAGTGAGTAGCAGGCATTTTCTATGTTGCACCCTGAGGAAAGAGAAGAGACCTGTGGGATGTGTAGCAGAACCATTTCCTGCTGCCTGTGTTGTAAGAGGCACCCACGTTCCAGGCCAGGGAGGGTCCTACTATTTGGAACAAGGTGGGGAAAACAGCATGTGACTGAGCCCTGGGAAGCTCTGGGACCCACTGTGGAGTGGCTATTCCAAGAATGTTGATTGCTTTTGTTTCCCTAATGGCTTATCTTGTTGCTCAACCTGGAAGCAGGACAGTGCAACAGGGCAGATGGAGCAGCCTCATCACCTCTAAGAGGTCAAGGCCAAGGCCAAGGGAGCTAGTGAGGCTTAAGAAACAAAGCTGTCTGGGAGGTATAGTTCAGCAGTAGAGTGCTTGCCTCGAATGAAGCTGTGGGCAGAGGGAAGGTAAAAGGAAACAAATAGAAGTTTGGCATGGTGATGCACGCCTTAAATTCCAGCACTCATGAGACAGAGGCAGGAGGATTTCTGTGAGTTCAAGGCTAGCCTGGTCTACATATCAATTTCTAGGCCAGTCAGAGCTACATAGTGAGACTCAGTCTCAAAACAAAAAAAATAAAACAAAGCACATGTCCTAGTTCGTCTCTCCATTGCTGTAACAAAACACTCTGACCAGTACCAACTTGGGGAGGAAAGGGTTTATTCAGCTTACATCTCCCAGGTCACAGTTCATCAGGGAGCCCAAGGTAGGAACTCAGGCAAGAACCTGGAGGCAGGAGCTGGAGCACAGGTCATGGAGGAACGCTGCTTACTGGCTTGCTCCCCTGGCCCATGCTCAGCCTGCTCTCTTATCCAACACAGGCCCACCAGCCCAGGGGTGGCACCACCCACAGTGGGCTGGGCCCTCCAACATCACACAACAATCAAGAAGATGCTCCACAGACATGGCCACAGGCCAGTTCAATGGAGGAAATTCCCCAATTGAGGCTCCCTCAACCCAGGTGTGTCAAGCTGACACTAAAGCTATCTAGCACAGCACACAAAACAAAACAGCAACACCAAAAAAACCCCCCCCCCCAAAAAAAAAAGAAAGGAAAAGAAAACCTGTCAGGCTTGATGGCATCAGCTTTCGGTTCCAGAACTTGTGGGAGGCAGTAGCAAGGTAGATGTCTGAGTTTGAGGCCCACCAGGTTTACATAGTGAATTCCAGGCCAGCCAAGGCTATATGGTGAATCCCTGTGTTCTAGTTTGTCTCTCCATTGCTGTGACAAAACGCTCTGACCACTATCAACTTGGGGAGGAAAGGGTTTATTTGGCTTACATCTCCCAGGTCACAGTTCATCAGGGATCCCAAGGTAGGAGCTCAGGGCAGGAACCTGGGAGCTGGAGCTGGAGCACAGGCCATGGAGGAACACTGATTACTGGCTTGCTCCCCTGGCCCCTCCCTGCTCAGCCTGCTTTCTTATACAACACAGGCCCACCTGCCCAGGGATGGCACCACCCACAGTGGGCTGGGCCCTTCCACATCACTCAACAATCAAGGAAATGCCCCACAGACATGGCCACAGGCCAGCCCTATGGAGACTGTTAGGGAAAGAGGAATTTACTGCTTGTTTGAATATACTGCTTGTCTGAATTTACTGCTTAAATTTACTTGTTTAAATTTACTGCTTGTAACCAATTAACTAAACTGGAGACACAGGCATCCGGAGATAGGGGCAAGTGCTACAGCCCTGGAACCTGACCTGTCTGATCTGTGTCGTGTCATGTAGGCATGTCTGCTTACACAAGATAACAGAAAAGAGTCGTGCCAGGCACATACCACCCATCCCTCCCCAATTGAGACACCTGAAGGGAGTTGTAACATTTTTCTTGTTTTGAAGTTATTGGTTTGTGAAATGCTTGCTTTAAAACTATTGGTTGTATAAACGCGGGCTTTTGTGTAATGGTTGTGGGAGCCTATATAATTTTTACCTAAAATTGCCTCAGGGTTGATCGCTCTAACCAGACCTGCATGTCTTGGAAGGTCGGTTGGCCCCAGCTAGCTGGTTTAATAAAATTCTGCTTGATTTTTGCATCTCCATACTCGTGCATTTGTTCTCCAGAAGAGACCCACCGAGTCATGGACCCTAACAGAGACAATTCCCCAATTGAGGCTTCCTCAACCCAGGTGTGTCAAGTTGACACTAAAACTATCCAGCACACCATGCCTTTAAAAAAAGATGTGGAACCTTTGGGGGAAGTGAGTGCATCGTGACTCCTAGTGAAAGGAGCTAATCCCCATAGTTAAAATATGTGCTTGTTTGATGGCCCCGAAAGGGCTGTCTTGCCCCTTTTGCTGTTCGAGGGCACAGCAGGAGAAGATGGCCCCTCTCTAGACTCTAATCTGCCAATGCCTTTGGTTGGAACCTTCCAGTTTCTAGAAGTGGGAGAAATTTCTTTTGTTCATAAGCCACCCAGCCTATGATACTTTGCTGTAACAGTCTGAACAGACTAAAACCAGTCCTAACTTAAGGTTTTATTTTAGGTCTGAGCAAAGTTTTTGTTCCTGATTACCCGCTGTCTGAGCTCAGTCAGGTTTCTATGTGAGTTGTGTTGCAAAACAATCAAACCGAATCAATCAGCTAATAGGCACAGTTCCCAGGCTCTACGAGTACACATGCCATCAGGCAATCCTGGGGTTCCAATGCGAGATGGGGTGTTTAGGTGGCCTAATCAGCAGAGTAAGCCTTCCTAGTGTTCCTCTGGAGTGCTCCTGGGTGACACTAGCAAGGGCTGCTCCATGGCTCTGAGGAAACAAAGTGTTGGAACAGCCTAATTGGTTGTCGAAAATACGTCCCATTTTCAGGGCATGAACAAAGGACCTTTGGAGCGGGGCTTTCTTCTGATCATCAGGAGGTGGCATGCAGCCTATTTCATTCTTGGGAACTTCTCTTTCTCTGTGAGGAAGAGATCTTAACTGTTCCCTAATGCTCACCTCTTATTTATTCTTTGAAATGATACAAGCACTCCTCATTCTAATATGGCTGACCCAATATGGCCAGACTATACCATAAGGGAATCTGAGAGTATATTTCATAGATTCTCTTGAAGTAGGTTGTGTCCATGTAAGCAAATTTTAGCCAATGAGTTGTGGCCCAAAGTGAAGTGGGAAACTTGTGGGTCATATTTTCTGTAGTGTTTTGCTTAACAATGACTTCTCTTTTCTTCCGCAGACTGGAAGGTGGGGATTTCAGGGGGCAGAGGCAGCTTGGACTTTGTGGTTGATGACACAGAAATGGAGAAGCAATACGACAGAAGGAATTTAGGAAACTGGTCAACTCAGAGCAGAATTGCCTACTTTCTCTGGACCAGCTATCTACTCTGAATTGTTATTAGAGAGAGAGAGAGAGAGAGAGAGAGAGAGAGAGAGAGAGAGAGAATACATCATTCCATCATGTTTATATCACTGTACTTTAGGATCTTCTTGTCACAACCACATAACCTCTTGATATAGAAATTTGTGCTGAAAGTGAGATGCAATTTCACTAAGCCAACTAAAGTATCTAGCATTGGTGTAGCGTCCAGGCATTTCAGGCATTGTGAATGAGGAGACCCATTTAGCAAGGTGGCAAGCTCGTGACCTCTGTTGGTCTGTGGAAGATTACTTTTCCACCGGGTGATAGGAATGAGATCTGTGGCAAAGATCTGATTCAAGGTGTCATCTTCCCACCCAGTCTATTGCTTCGGGTGCCTCAACAGGCACCAGTGGGATATGGCATGAGGGGTAGACAGACATGGGTACTAGTTTGTAGAAAAGTAGACTTGGGAGGTTGGAGAACCATGTCTATACAGAAGTGACTGGAATCAAATATCAAGAAGGATCCAAATCTTTAAAAAAAAATATTTTATGTGTATGAGTTTATTGCCTGCATGCAAATGTTAAGTGCACCCGTGTCACGCAATGCCTGCAGAAGTCAGAAGAGGGCATCAGATCCCCTGGAACTGGAGTTACGGACGGTGGTTAGCTGCCATGTGGGTGCTGGGAATTGAACCCTGTTCCTCTGAAAGAGTAGTCAGTGCTCTTAACTGTTTAGCCATCTCTCCAGTCCCAGGGATTCAAATTTTTTTAAAAAAATTTTATTTATTATTATTATCATTATTATTTTCTTTGGAGGGGGTCTTTTTGAGACAGGGTCTCCCTGTAGCCACAGCTGTCCTGGACTCACTATGGAGACCAGGCTGGCCCTGAACTAACAGATTCCCCCTGTCTCTGCCTCCTGAGTGCTGGGATTAAAGGCAAGCACTGCCACACCCGGCTATTTATTATTATTTTTATTTTATATGTATCAGTGTATTGCCTGCATGTAGGTAAGTGCACCTGTGTTGTGCAATACCCACCGAGGTCAGAAGAGGGCGTCGGATTCCCTGGAACTGGAGTTATGTGGGTGCTGGGAATCAAATCCAGGTCTTCTGCAAGAGAAGCTAGTGTTCTTAACTGCTGAGCCATCTCTCAGCCCCAAGGGATCCAAATCTTTGATAACATTAGATAGCAAAGAAGCCACAAGTTGGGCCTACATAAGCCTATGGCAGTTTAATTCCTAAAGAAGTCACCCAGGCCTCCAAAACATCACACATATACTGAGCAAGCCATATTCTCCAAGGACAGTCTCTTTGATGCACTTGGTAGACATGTGGCCAATGATGATCAAGGAAGAAGCTCCCCAAAACTTAAGGCAGGGATCCCAGCAGACAATGGACGAGGGTCACACCAAGAGCAGAGAAGGAGAGCATAGGGTAGGTGCCTTGGTACTTCCTTCCTGCCTGCCTGCCTGTGTCAGTGCGTGCATGTGTGTGCGTGTGTGCGTGTGTGCATGTGTGTGTGTGTGTGTGTGTGTGTGTGTGTGTGTGTGTATGTGTGTCCATAACTGTCCTGGCCGGTGACTGCTGTGTTCTTGTCCTTTCTTTTATCTAATGGGAGAGTCTTGCTGTCGCCATTTCTAACCCCCCACTGTATACTGTGGGAGTGAGCAGAAAATTATTCAGTTCATGGACCACTGAACCATCAATGCTACA